GAGAGCTCCTCAGGGCATACTCAAACAAGGCCCTCAAATTTGCAAAATTCGCAAAATGGGCGGTGAGATCAAGTCCTTTTTTTTTTTTTTTTTTTAAGTCCATGGTGTTGTAGCTGTCTCTTATACACATCTAGATGTGTATAAGAGAAAAAGCCTAAAAAGGGCAACTTCAGCAGTTCCCAAAAAGCGGCAGCAAAGGCAACCCTAAAACTGCATTCACTACAGCGGCTGATGACAGGCACAGTTTCAAACCAGCCAGCGCTAAACTTGCGCACTTTTTCAAACTGACGACACGACTGCAAGGCCACTTTGTGTTTTTTTTTTTTTTAACACTAGTATTCATAGCTAGCAGTGATGATAAGAGCATACACCCCTGGCTGCTTTACTAGTGGCTCCGGTCCATTGGTGGGGAGCTTGTCTTTTCTCGCCTATTTCAAACGAAACGTGTGACACAGCCACAGTTTCCTCAAGAAAAAAAAGTGAGCCGCTGGCAGTTTGGAAAAGCTTGGCGCGCAGTAAGGCGCCTCCCTGGTTGCTTTACTACAGTCTTCCCCCGAATACAAGTCATTATGGCTGAATTTAGACCGAAATATAGGCCAAATTCAGCTATAATGACCGTGCGTTGTATCCGGGGGAAGACTGTAGTATTCGTAACATGAGTTTCAATTTGCTTACGACAATGACACGGAATGAGGGTTCTGAAAAAAAAAAGGAAAAGCTTGGCGCGCAGTAAGGCGCCTCCAGGCGCGGGTGACTGGTGGTGTCACAACAACAAAGATTGGAGCAGACAGAAGTGGGGCCGTCTTCACCCGAATAGAACGCCCGGTCATTATAACTGCATCTGGACTGAAAGTTGGGCCAAATGCAGCTATAATGACAGAGCGTTCTATTCGGGTGAAGACCGTAGGTAGTGGCTTCTTCTGAGTTCTTCACCTTCAAGGCTTCAACTAGAGGTGCTAGATCACTGGCAGTGTTGTTATATGCAAGCCTGTGACCTGACCAAGACTGACAGCACTGACTCGGCAGCAAACAGGATACTAACACTGACTCCGCTTACGGCTGGTCTCATCAGCGATTCGACAAACTCTCGGTCTAAATATGCTGCCTTTACGTGCTCTCTACTTCCAGTCGTCTGCCCTTCGAGGCTTGGGCGTCCCAAAGCTCATCCATCCGGCTACGTAATGGCTGTGACCCTGACCCGAGACATTGCATTGCTGTTTTTAAAGGGATGCTGGACCCGGTTTTCAGCAGGTGCCGCTCCCCACCAATAGATGGAGCAGCCCGCTGGCCAGGCGCCACGGTTCTCCTACCACCGTCGGGACAGTGGACTTGCAAAAGGGCTTTCAAAAAAAAAAAAAAAAAAGAGACATAGCCAGATGTGCGGGGGGGAGGGAAGGGGTGGTCAGGGAACTCTGCGGCTGAGTGGAGGGCT